AAAACACAGCGATTCCGGGGAGGGCGGGGAGTGATCAGGAACGAGGCCCATCCATGGGTGTGAAAAAAAGAGCATCCCGGGCCGCCCCAGCACGCCAACCGATCTTCCAGCCGACCTGGACGCGACCCGGCTCTCCGGCTGGCCCTCCACATTGCCGGGAGGCGCAGGGATTCCGCAGACTGGGGAGGGCGAGGGGGGCGAGGAGTCAGGGCAACGCGCTGCAAAACGCACGGCGCGGAGAAGGCATGCGGGCGTGAGGTGTACCTGGAGATGCATTCCTGGCAAGAACTGGCCGAGCGCCTTCGCAGCGTCAGTGGATGGCCATGATGTTGGCCGACGCTGGCTGCGGCATCGCCGCGACGGCCAACGAAAAGGAGGGAGGGGGGAGGAGGAGGAGGAGGAGGAGGAGGAACGACAAAGGAGGAGGGAGGAGGGAGGGAGGGATGGAAGAGGGATATTGTAAGGCTTCAGATCAAGAGCGCAAGCTGGCGTTGTTAAGCTGCTGGTGGATTCGCGCTACAAGGTTCTGATTGCACAAGCGGGCCCGTGCTGCGCCGAACGGCGTCGTGCCACCCCGAGCAAAGCCGAAACCGAGCCCGACACAACACAACGCCGGTACACATTTCACAACGTACACCCGGCTGGAGACACTCGTTGAAGAAGTCACCGGGGACGTTCACAATGCTGCCGACGATAAAACTCGACGCAGACACAGAGACACGCAGACACACAGGCACGCATACACAGAGACAAACAGACGCACAGGCACACATATATACATACAGACACACAGACACAAAGGCAAACAAACACACACAGACACACAGACAAACAGACGCACAAACGCACAGACACACAATCGCACAGACACGCACAGAGACACAGAGACACAGGCATCCAGACACACAGACACAAAGACACACAGACAGACAGACAGACACACGGACACAGAAACACACACAGACACACAGGCACACATACACAAAGACAAAAAGACACACAGACACACAAACAAATATATTCACAGACGCACAGACACGCAGACGCAAAGACACACAGACACACACACAGACACACAGACACGCAGACACACAGGCACACAGACACACAGGCACACAGACACACACACACACAGGCACACAGAACCAAAAACAAACAGACACACAGACACGAAACACACACAAACGCACAGACACTTGTTCCGTTGGCGGCGAGGCAGAATGGCTGCACCAGCGATAGAGCTAAACGGGGGCTCCGAGAAGCGAGTTGGCCAGCGTGCAGGAGAGGGGAAAGGACGGACAGGGCGGCCGCGGAGCGGTGAGGAAGATAGGCCACTCCGAGGCGGAAGACTCCCGAACTCACGGGCGATGACGGGGCTCAGCACGTGAAGGCAAATACCGCAGTGACGGAGACGCACAGACACAGAGACACGCAGGCACACAGGCACCCAGACACACAGACGCACTCTGACGTACAAACACACAGTTGCACAGACGCGCCGACGCACAGACGCGCAGGCACACAGACACTCTGACACACAGACACACAGACACACAGCACACGGACACACAGATACAAAGGCATACAGACACAGAGACACATATAAACACAACCGCGAAAACACTTTCATGTTGGGTTAACACACGTCCCGAGGATCATCGAACCTTCTGGACGCCCAGCTCGCGCACCAGGTCCTCGGTCACCTCCCAGGGCGCTGCCTCGAGCACGGCGCCAACGAGCGGGTGCTTCTTGAGGCGGTCCATGCGCTCCGCGAAGCACTCGGACGGGTAAGCGCCCATGACGTCGCGCAGGCACTGGTCGCCGTGCACGCCGACGAGCAGGTAGTCGCCGCGGCTGCTCGCCTCGCGCAAGAAGTGCTGCTGGGCGTCGTGCAGGAAAGACCACGCACCGTCCACGTAAACGACAGAGCCCTCGTGGTCCCAAGGGAAGGCGTCCGCCTGGACGAGCTGCGTCCTCTGCCGGAGCTCGTTCTCCTCCAGCTTCCTCCAGGTCAGCTTCCTGCTCAGCGGCGCGCGCTTGTCCACTGGCCTGTCGAGAATGGCGCCGAACTTCTGCTTCAGAGCCATCATCATAGAATTGAACAGGATGGTCTTGTAGCTCAGGAGCCACACTCCCTGATACAGCCCTATCGCGCCGTCCTTCTTCACTATACCCCGAAGGCTGGCCATGACTCCGTCGGAGCCCATCGTCTGGGCCACGGCCTTGGCACGTATGCTCGGGCGACGTGAACTGACCACCTCACTGATCACGGCTGGGCTCCATCCTCCAGGATCGGGCCCGGCCAGAATCGGTGAGGTGGTCAAGCGACGTCCCCCGATATGAGGGGGTAGGTGACCAACGTCGCCACGGCCTTCGAGATGCCAGACACCCAGAACATGTCCGACGCTGCCAGACTCTCCTCGTCGCGCACCCTCAGCACGAGCGCCGAGAGCTTGCCCACGAGCGTGAACATCAGCGCGGGGTTCAGGGAGAGGAGCAGGGCCAAGTTGAGGCCCCTCCAGAGGGTGGCTCTCCCGCCGGTGCGCGCCAGCCTGACGAACGTGTGGAAGAAACCCCGCGAATTCGGGTCGGCCTGATTCACGTTGGCGACCACGTCGACGGGGGTGGTAAGGACGCGGTTGAACTGCTGCGCAAACATGTTCACCAGCAGCGAGAGGCCAGTGCCCAGCTGACGCCGGTCACCGGCGACGCTCTGCACGCGCGACAGGGCCGCCTGCACGAAGATGGTCTGCCATATAAAGAAGCCCACGTTGGACGTTACGGTCTGGATGAGCCTCCCGATCAGCCCCCGGTACAGGCCGATGGGGCCCCTCTCGTGGAGGACCCCCCGCGCGACCTCCAGCGCGCTGCCGCCGTGGACCTGCTGGAGCAGCTTCACGGTGTCCAGCGGGAACAGCGCCGCCTCGGCGACGACCGAGCTCAGGAGCCCCGACCGCACCTCGTCCAGCACCTTCTGGAACAGGCTCGGGGAGAGCGCCATCGAGCTCTGGGTGGGGTGTTGCTTGCTTCAGGTGCCCATGGCCCGAGGTGCCCCCAGGATCTCGTCGTCGTCGCCGTCGCTGTCGTCGTCGTCCTCAGAGAATCTCCCACGAAGCATCGAGGGCCCCAGGGGCTCCAACATGGAGCGAAAAGCCGGAAGCACCCTTGGGCCATAGGGGCACCTTTTCGCAGGGAGCGCGCCCCAGAAAATCGCTGCTCGCAGCAGAAAAGCTGCGGCGGGCTCCTGCCGTGACGACTCGCGCGCTGGCCTTCCAACACATGGTGCGGACAGTCGGGCCCTGAGCGATCGCGTCCTTCCGACAGCGCAGAGCGTTCGGCATCGGTCGATTCTGGCGGCGTTCAACCTTGGAGCGTCTGTGCTGGGGTCGCCCCTGCCGTACGGAGGAGAGGAGAACCAGCAAGGGGACGATCGAGCTGCGAGACCGAGAGCGGGACCGAGTGCCACGCTGCTGTTCCATTGCTCACCCTGCACCTCTCCGATAGCAAACGGGATTGCGAGCTTCGGGCGGGGCATGCGTAACACGAAGCGTTCCAGGATGTAACACGTCACTGACCCTCGGCACCTATAGGCTTGGTACAGGAGGAGGAGGAGGAGCAGGACGGGGACGAGGAGGAGGAGGAGGAGGAGGAGGAGGAGGAGGAGGAGGAGGAGACGGCAAGATGGGTGGAAGTAGGGGGACGAGGAGGAGGAGGAGCAGAAAGAGGAACATGCACGCTCATCACGAATCCTTACCTGCCCCGTCTCGTCCCGCCCCCTCCCTGCCCCACCCCCTGGGGAAGGGGGGTGCGGAGGACGGCGATGAGGACCTGACTAAAAGGGCGAGAATGAGGACGACGAACAAATTGACGATCACGAGGGACAAACAGGGAGAGGAACCGAGCATGAAGACAAGGAAAGATGAAATGACCGAATGAAGACGAGAGTGAAGACAATGAAGCAATAATGAAGACAAGGAGGGAAACATATGATATGGCCGTGATCTTGATCATGGGAAGACAGCCCGTGGGAAGAGGCGGAAGAGAAGGATACTGAAGAGACTGGCTCGAACCATCTCGGTTCGGCCCACTCTGCCCCAAAGAGCGGCACCGCTCCTGCCGCGCCTCACGTGGCGCACCTCTTGGCAGACTTGGAGAAGGGCTGGCTGAGGCAACGCTGGTTCTCCCGCCTGGTTCAGACCCGTTCAACATCGGGGGCGGTCAAGAGGGGGGCGTCCAAGGAGGGGGGTGGGGTGCAAATCATGGCCGGCGGCACGCGCGCGGCCCGTGGGGGATCCAGGGACGCAATGGCACGAGAGAAGAGGCGCCACGAATTCCCGGGGAGACACCACGACCCGCGCCATGATCTCCAACCCCCCCTAGTCATCACCCCCCTCTTGGCCGCCCCCGACAGCTCGGCGGTGGACAAACCTCCTCCCCTGGAGGGGAACACGCCCGACTTCATGCTCGTGGCCCCCGCCCGCCCGTCGCCTGGCCGGGGGCCGCGGGGCCCAAGAGGCGGAGAGGCGGGCAGCAGGGCCCCCAAGTCAACTCACACGCGGGGCCTGCGCCGCCCCGCTCGGCCACCGGGCTCGGTCCCTCGCGGGGAGGTGACCTGTGAGGAAACAGGAGGAGGAGGAGGAGGAGGAGGAGGAGGAGGAGCAGGAGGAGGAGCAGGAAGAGCAGGAGGAGCAGGAGGAGGAGGAGGAGGAGGAGGGGGAGGAGGAGGAGGGGGAGGAGGGGGAGGGGGAGGATGTATACGCGCTCAAACCTTGGCGGCGCGCACAAGGGGGTACGGGGAGGGGGGGGGCTCCTTAGAGGGAGGCTGCTTCTTAGGAGGCGCCAGCCTTGCATCTATAGAGAAGGCCCGCGCCCTGTGAGACGCAGGGGTGCTTCTAAGAAGCCTGCCCCCCTCCCCCTACCCCCCTCCGCGCGTGGCCGAAAACAGATAGGGAGGAGGAAAAGGAAAGGCAAAACGTCGAATGCGCTGCAGGTAAGGGCGCGCGAATTGTCGGACCCCGAGGGGGGCTCCCGTTCGAGCGGGGGGGCCCATCCGACAACACATGTTTTCCGTCGGCGGCGAGGCAGAGTTGGCTGCACTAGCGATAGAGCTAGACGGGGGCACTGAAAAGCGAATTGGCCAGCCTGCAAGAGGATCTGGGCGTCACATAGGTGCGGGGCCAGTTGTTATCTTGTGACCCTGGGTCGGGGGGACCTCTTGTGCGCGGCCTTAGATGGGAGCGGGGGCTTGGGGTGGGGTGGGGTGGGGGGGAGCAGATTTCGAGCGCGCACGCTGCTGTCGGATCACGATCGCTGATCCAGGGGACCCTGGCCCCACACCAGCATGGCCGAATCCAGCGAACAAAACCATGTTTATGCAATCGACGGGTCCCGCGCTGGCTAGCAGCCGGGACGACCACTGCTAGACCACGGCACCCCACCGCCTCGCGCGCCGTGGAGTTGCCATAAAGCAGCGGATCATAGAGACCAGGCCCCTCCCCCAGGACAAGCTCTCGTCCCATGCCGTTTCGTGGAAGCGGCACGAAGTGTCGAGATCCGCCACCCAATGTCCATCAGGACATGTAGATGCGCGCGTACCACGCCCACGAGTTGACGTAGAGAACAATATTGTCGCACTCGGCGCTCTTCAAAGAATGGGGGATGGACTGCACTGGCTCAGACAAGCACCCGTCAACGCACCCATTGCCGCTACTGCAGCGCCGACACCCCCGGCCATGACATTCTCCCCCCACCCTCTCTTTGGGTGGCCCAAAAGAGGGTCCAACTGAAAGGGGGTGGTGCAATAGATTTGGGGCATGCGAACTGCAAATGTACTGCGCCGGAGAACTGTATTGCATTGGATTGCAAGTAATGCATTGCACGCGGAAGTATTTGCGCCCCGAAATGTATTGCACGCCCCCAATGTCCTGCGACCCCACAAATCTACTGCACCGCCCCCTGGCCGCTGGACCCCTTTGGGGTCCACCCACCCTCTCGTCGTCGCCCCCCTCGTGGCTGCTCCCAAAGGAGACGCCTCCGGGCCACGACATCCTGGGCACGCGCGCGTGCAAGACGGCCCAAGAGGGTCAACGATATCTTCAAGTCCGCCCAAGCCAAGACGGCCAAAGATGGCTCCAAGACGGCCCAAGACGGCCGAAGAGGCCCCCAAAGGCCAAAGAAGCCTCCAAGGTGACCTCCAGGAAGGCTAGCTCGTTCTAAGGGCGGCGACACATCGGGGGGGCAGCGAGGGCTGCCCACAAGGGGCCCTGCAGGGCCTCTCAGGAGGCTCTCTCGGGCTCCGCAGGGGGCCTGCGGGGCCCGAGAAAATCGGGGGACGCCGATCCGTGGATTTTTGGCGCGCGGTCGCCCAGTCCATGGGATTTGGCGCGCGGTCGCCAAATCCATGGATCGGGGGGGGTGCCCTCCCCAAAATGCAGCCTGTGCCGCCCCGCTCGGCGGTGGAAATCAGCGCTTTCCCATGGAAACGGGACCCGTCGCTAATCCACGCCCCCTTGATCCATGTTTGTGAGCGCCTGAAAAAGCGGCACCCTTCTACCCCCTCCCTTTTTCGGGGGTGGCCAAGGAGGGGGGCGTCCAAGAGGGGGGGGGGGGGGGCAAATCATGGCGGGCGGCATGTGCGCGGCCCGCGGGGGGTGTGACCGGGGACGTGTTCGTTGAAAGAAAAAGAGTCGCCATGACATCTGGGGAAATATCATGGCCCCCGCCATGGTATCCCCCCCCCTAGTCATCACCCCCCTCTTGGCCGCCCCCGATAGTTCGCGCCCAACGTGCACGCGGCGGAGATCGTCCGGGACACTGCCGAGTGCTCCCTCTGCGCGCCTGGCGCGTGGCAGTCTGGCGCCGCTCGCCGCTGCGTAGATGTCGCCCTTCCCCCTCTCGCGCGAGGAGGAGGATGAGGTTGATTGGGGAACAGGGGAGCCACAGGAGCTGGAGGAGAGGAGGCGGAGGGGTAGAAGGAGCGAGGAGGATGGAGGTGGATGGGGAGCATAGGGAAGCAACAGGAGCTGGAGGTGAGGAGGAGGAGGAGGAGGAGGAGGAGGAGGAGGATGCCAGGGATGGGGGACTAGTATCTGCATGGAGCGCAGACGATGGGGAGGAGAAGGAGTGAGTGCATGACCTTGAGGGCTTCACGTCTGACTGGAAAGCTGCAGGGCCATATGCGCGACCATTTTGAACCACTTGTGCATCTTGCCACGCCCTAGGCGGCCCGGCGTTTTCCGAAGTGGGTTCTTTAACAGGACCCTGGGACACACATTCTAGGATTCCCTCATTTTCTTATATTTTCTGGATGTTCGTCTACCCCCCCTCCCATATTTTCCTATATCTTCCTGGGAATCAAGGATTCTTGGTGTCTGTGTGTTTTGTCCCTCCTGAACGATGCGGGAGAGGATGCGCCTGGAGAGCGACCCCGTCGCGCACCAAAGACGCGCCGGGATGGAGCTCGGCCGCAAGAGGGGGAGCAGGAAGTGCAGAGGCGACCGGGGACTGCTAGGAGCAGGATGGCGAATGAGGAGAAGGGAGACGAGGAGGAGGAGGAGGAGGAGGAGGAGGAGGAGGAGGAGGATGGAGGCGGAGGAGAAGAGGAGGAGCAGGAGGAGGAGCAGGAGGAGGAGGAGGAGGAGGACAGGGGAGGGAGGAATGGGTGAGGTCGAGGACGGAGGAGGACGGATGTGACATGCGGAGTGGTAGGAGAAGCGAGAGAGTGAGTGGGATATGAAGGCAACTCGGTCTGACCGCCCCTGGGCTGGGCAACAAAAAGCTCCTCGGAGGTCAAACCTGTTCTTCCTTTAACTGCGGTCAAGAGCCGCAGCCGATGATGGGGGTGGATACCCGAGCTCCTCCTCCTCCTCTTCCTCCTCCTCCTTCTCCTTCCCCCCTCTCCTCCTGTGCTTTCTCCCAGCGCTGCTCCGATCCAAGTGATGCTCATCGTCGACTGCCCCGCTGGCGAGGGTATGTGCAATCTAATCCTTGAGACGCAGGCTTTTTTATGGTTCACAAGAGGGTCCTCCCTCTCACCCTTTCCCCCTCAGGCCCTGATCCTCGCTCCTCCTTCCTTTTTCCCTCTCCATCCTCCGCATCCTACCCTCCTCCTCCTTTGTTTTTCTGCCCCCGCCTCTTCCCCCCCCCCGCTCTCCACATCTCAAAGCCACCCAGACTATCCCAAGAACTCCTGGGATCTCTCATTGTCCCACAAACCCGTGCCCATCCCAGGAC